CTTAATTAACTCTTCACCTTTTCTATATCAACAATCTTTCAGATCTCTTGTGTTGCAACGCAGTTTTGGACGACAAAGAAAGGTTGTCGATGGTTACAGCAATGAATTCAAACATATCTTGTACAACTCTACAAAGGTGGAGAGAACGTCCTCCTTCTTCTTATTCCATCAAGGTCAAGAGCCTCTCCCAACTCCAAAGCTCAACTCTCCACTCTGATGGCAAATGCCAATCCCGTCGCTTCTCTTCTGGTGGATACAACTGGTACGTATTAATTGTGTACACTATACTAAGTGCAACAAGTTCCATAGATTTGCATATGATTAAGATATACGTAATTTTGTTATAAAATTTAGGAGAATGATCATATACCCAGAAGGGAATGATAAGGACAATGGAAGTGGGTTTATTTCGATGTATGTTGAAATAGATAGCACAAACCTAGTTTCCACACAACCAGCTGAGGTGTATGCAGATATCCGTTTTTTCGTCTTTAACAAGAACGAAAACAAATACTTTACTATTCAAGGTATGTAACTGTACATGTATATTTGCCTTTGTTTTCTAGAAAACATATTTAATCATTTAATCTCACGTTTCGCGTACAACAAAATCTAGTTATATAGTAATCAGTGAGGTGTATATATATATCCAGATGCGGAATCGAAGCCATTCAATATGTTAAGAACGATATGGGGATTGGCGCAAGTGCTTCCGCTTGATACCTTCAGTGACCATAAAAATGGATACATCTTTGATGGAGATCATTGTGAGTTTTATCATTGTTGCTCCGCCTCCTACCAAATGGGAAATCACCTCTTTTGAGGAGAAACTTCATCGTCCCACATTCTCTTGGACTGTTGAGAATTTCTCTGAGATAAAAGAGAATCCTTACGCATCTGACAATTTTTCAGTGGGAGGAAAAAAATGGTAAAATTACAAATGCTTTAATGTTTTATCTAATAAACATGTTCAATTCAAATGTACATATAGCGTGTACTAACAAGTGCATAATAATAACGGTTTGTATAGGTGTCTACAGTTGTATCCCAAGGGCTACTCTATAGCAGATAGTAAATGGTTATCCATTTTTCTGTTTTTAGCTGATGGTGCAACTTTGAAAGAGGACGAGAAGATTTACGTGAAGGCAGATCTGAAACTTAAAGACCCACTTGGATCCAATCATTTGACAGAGTCGGGTATGTTATAAAACACTATTCACATTATTGTTTCTTAACTTTCTTAAATTATTACAAGCCTGCGTTGAGATATCAATCCAATTCCCACATCGAAAATTTAGACAAATATTGTTAATTATATAAGTAATGTCGAACTCTGATTAATATGAGATCTTTCGGAAAGGAACCCAAACATAAATCCGTGCGGGCTTTGCCACATAGATCCAAAACGGACAATATTATACTAATGGAGAGAGTTGGACATGGACTTGATAACCTAACATCTTGATATATAACGAGATTCTCAATTATCGTTAACCAGTGCACCCTTACCATACATATTCTATTTTATTGCAGTTAACTGTTGGTTTGAAAACCCAACCACGGGTTATGGTTGGGATTACTATGTGTCTATAGCTGAACTTCGAAACACGTACTTGGACAAGGAAGATAGTTTGAAAGTTGAGATCCAATTTGAAGTTGTTTCTGCCACCGAATACTCTCCCTTTACCTAAGCTCTACTTTTAGAATATCTACTGTTTTAAACGTTCTTAGATTTGAAATTCTAATTATTAGCCAGATTGTAAATGTGTTTGTTTTAGCTTGGTTTGGTTATTTGGTAAACGCATACTTTATAACAAAGTCTTATTATCCCTTGGGCATTATTTGCAAAATCTCCAATTTGTTTTTGGCTCTTTTGTCTTGCGTAACAAGTATTTGCTTATTTCTGGTTTCATGGTGTATTTGGAGTTGAGAATCGCTACTACAATATCTCTTGTTCCTACTCATTGCGTTTTGCGTGTTCTCCACAAGCTGTGAGCAAAATCAAACGCAAACACGGGTCAATTCGCGAAATTAGGTAGCAGGATCAGTTGAATGTTTTGCATTTGTAACAGACGATCGTCTTTGAAGATGCTTATTTATAGACTTAGTTCAACAAAATAAATCTAGGTAAAAGATAATTGTAACTTTAAGGAATTTTAAATGTTACTGGTAACAACATACATACACAAGTACGGATACAGTTGCATAAAGCAGAAGACCGAACATACGGGGGGTCACGATACGTTAACGGATGATCAAAGTTTGATAAGAGAGAGATGAGAGAACTCACAACAACATTGCTGATTTGAGCCACTTTCTTCAACGACCAGAGAGACTAATCTGTTCACACTTTTTGTCAACAGACTCTTTAACGGCATCAACCACTAGCTGTGTCTTCCGACTAATGCTCGGCCAAAACCCATCAGGCTTTGCACCTTTGTTCTTGATTTCTCCAACCAAACGAGCAAATTCTCTCACCATACATGCCTCTTGTGGAAGATCCGTTTTAACCGTGTGTTCGCTCGGGGGATTAACCCACGCAGTCACGGGGTCATTAAACCAAGCTTTAGTGCTTGTGGTGAACGAAGCCTCTGTCTCCTTAAACGGGATAATGAAATCGTGAACACGGAGTGTGCCATTTGTTCCAATGGCGGTTATCTCCATTGTTAAGTTTGCTAAGAAGGAGCAGTATACGGTTGCAGTTCGTCCATCTTCCCAACTCAGAGATGCTCCACATGAGAGAATTACACCCGCCTCGTTTAGGACAGCACCTGGAAAGGCCGTGACTGTTTTAGGAAGCTCGAAGTTGTTGGCTAAAAGGCTTGCTCGGATTGCGTACCATCCAGCATCTCCAAGCGCTCCAAGCCCATCGAGACCCGGTTTCACACGGATATCGTTTTTCAGAAAATCTTCGTCTCCAGCAAATGAAAAGCAGCTCTGTACCTGCAGTATCCAACATCAAAGCACAAAAATAAGACTCTCAAGAGAGAGCTCTTGAGACTTTCTAATCTGCAAGAAACTAGAAACCACACTAGTTATGCTGTTTAGTGTGAATCTCTGCAAATCGAGATAAGATTAAACAAGAACTGATTACTGAGACAGAAGCTCATCTTCGACGCAAGAAACATCCAAAGAGAGTAGCAACTAGCAAGCTGTTGATATGAGGTTCAATTAAATCGATCAAAACCAAAGATTGAGAACATCTACTGTATATGATTTCAACTCTGTAACACTAATCTAAGAACCAAAGCTATTAAATTTGAAGAAACCCAGAAACTTCAATAATCCAATTTCATGAAAATCAAAGAGAAACTTACTGTTTTAAGCTGGCCAAAACGTTCCGGGTCGGAGAGAAACTTCTTGAGCTTAGCGGTTCTAGGATTATGAACCCACATAGTACCATCCATAATCTGAACACCATTAGCTTCACAAGCCGCGACAATCTCATCGAACTCAGCTACGTTCATGGCGACGGGTTTCTCCAGAAGTATGTGTTTCCCTTTCTCGGCGGCGCGTATAGCCCACTCGACATGGAGGCTGGTGGGCAGAGGAACGTAGAGCGCATCAACTTCTGGATCTTCGAGAATCGATTCGTAGGAGCCATGGATTTTGGTAGATTGAGGGTAGCCATTTGCGGTTGCGAAAGATTGAGCCTTTTCGAGGGAACGGCTTGCAACGGCGGCGATAGTGGCGTTGGGAGCGAGGTGAATGGCACGAGAGACTTTCCGAGCGATTTCGGCGCAACCCATCACTCCGATTCGGATTGGTGTATCGGTGGCCATAGCTGTGAATGTCTCCGGC